TCAGGGAATGGCATTCTATCATAACTTATACAAAGTAATGATGGTCAATGCAACTGAAACAACACGTATCCTTGGTCTAATACAGACGGAGATGATGAACGTGAACGACGGGATGATGCACGAGATCGCATCGAAGGGGCCGATGCGTTTGACATGGTGCGAAGACGAGTTAGATGTGGATCAATTGGCTTTAGTGAACGCGGTGAAAGGGGAGCTGTTGATGTGGTTGTTGTAGATCTACGAGAAATATCTGAAAAAGAATCCTACACAATAATTTAAGTGATATCAGACTTTGTATGAAATTAAAATAGCACTTATAATAAATGAAAGTAACCTCAAAACAATGAATTCCAGATTCTGTATCTAAAGTTTCAGAATCTTGAAATTCCTCTTCACTGGATACATCTGATTCATTTAGAATTCTCTCTAAACTAAGATGTGATGCTAGTAATAACGAATATGCAATGAATTTTGCGTTAAAACAGATATTTAATATATTAATCAGAAAAATAGAAAAACTTACTATACCTCTATTCACGAATTCCTCATATAATGCAGCCTCTTTCATGACCCTTTCAAGCAGATCGGATACTTTTTTTCGTCTTTGTGTACCTAAAGTTGATGGATCGGCTAACGGTCCACCTTGTAAATGAATTTGAAGATCTTCTTGTAGTTTGTATAATTCATTAAGAGTTGCTTGTATTTTACTCTCTGGAGTTGTTGTGAGGTCCAATTCCGGTATTTGAAGTCCTTCGAAGCATTTTTCAATATCAACTAATGAGGAGACCCCATTTACTGATATTTTTATTGAATGGATGTATGAATAAATTAATTTTGATTTCTGTTTATTAAGTGTAATTATTGTCAAAGTAATTTTACCAAGACGTGAAATTGAACCCTCCGCTATTTTTGGCTGAGAATGGAGATCTTGGACTTCCGTTATAGGTGTAGATGGTTCATCATTACTGTATGAAAATAATCCGGTTAAATTTAATAAAATCAAATATGATCGCAATAAATATTTTGTAAATTTAGATTGGCAAGAAACTCAATTCGCAATGTTATTGTGAATATTAAAGTGTAAATTGCATCAAAATGCAAATTACAATATCTGATTTTGTCAGCGAAGTATCATGGGCTCTAACCTTCCATCAGTATCCTCGTCTTCTTCCAAGCCTGTTCCATCTGTCATTCCATTTTCATTTAAAAGGTCTAAAGCTCTTTTCATTGCGCCCGTTAAACCAGTCGTTTGCCAAGTTTCAACTTTAATTTTTAATTTATTCAAGTATTGTTCAGCTTGAGTCTCGTCTTCCATAGCAGCTTCAAGTTCTGGTGGTAATGATCCTACTGAAGACCCATTTGTTGTTATTGAAAAATTCCTTCCAATACTTTCGTCTTCCGGCTCCAGAATTCGTTTAAGTAACGTGTCATATTCTTCGGTTTCTATTGTCGTGGATGCCATAATTTGTGTTGAAATTTAAGATGAAAGAAACCATGTACCAGTCAAGCAATACGTATAGCTTTTTTTTTTAAGTTTAAAAGCTGCCAAAGTTGTTATATATTTGATATATATATCAGCGTTACACTAAAGACAATGCAATGCGGCAGAACGGACCTATGACGTCACGTGAAGTTTCTTGGTTAGGAATAATATAGGCATCGTATTTTCACTTACATTATATTTGATCTATTCATTTTCTTTAACAAAAACTATGTTGAGTGTTATTAAGACCTTTTTGTTTCATTAAAGTACTGTTGATTCGTTCCTGCTGAATGCCAAGTAAGAAGTACTTATTGGCTGCTACACATCCAATAATAGCACTTTTCTAGGACAGATAATAAATCTTACCTGTTAACTCGCATAATTACGTATGATTTATGCTTTGACCAGTAATGGTAAGCAATGATTATCAGCCATCCGGTTCAGAACCTGAAAAACCATCCCGGCAGGGATATTGAATTTTGTGATTTGCTGTAATCGAGTAAACGCAATTCTTTGTCTCATAACAACCAGGATATCTGTTGCTATTTCTGTATATGTCGATTTGCATATATTAAAAATTTATTTCCTAAAAAATCAAGTGTTTCTGTACTGATACATTACATAAACAGTTGTGAGAATTTCAATTAAAAATTTGATCGACATGCAAAAAATATATTTCAATCTTTGCTCGGAGTGAAGCGAAGGCTTTTTCAACAATGACATATATAACTATATATACAAAATATCTTTCACGTGATGAAATTAAAGCTTATCAAAGTAAACCCTGAACACGCTAGCCTATAGTCACATGTATAATTCTCTCCCTTCTCCTGGATATTGGTTTCTTTGCTTTCTAACGTGAATTGTATAACCTGTGTAATCTTTTAATGTTAATAAAGCTATTCTATTTAAATTATCAAAAAACCATCATAATATTATCTCTAATATGCACTGTATATACAGTATTAGTTATAATGATTGTATAGGTATATTGTAGAAAGTAATTAAACCTGCACAAATTTAATCTATGTCACATGGCCTTCAGCCATGTGACAGAGGTTAACCGTTATTTTTTATATTATTGTACGGATCTGACGTACAATTTCGTACCAGAAGTAAATTAAAAAGCACGGGTTGTTACATAAGACCCGTACAATAGAAGATATTACACAATTGTCACATATATCGAATTAATAAATTTGAAAATAAGCCTGCATTTATAAATAACAATGAATTTTTTATGACTCGAATAACTCGAATAAAATTCGAATTAGTCGATCAATTGATTCAAGTTTTCCAAGTTGACACGAGTCCAATTGCTAGTTCCAGGTTAGTTGAGCAATATCAAATATTAGTAAAAAAAGATTATTTCTGCTTCATTATAAATTAGTAACTTTCTGTCATATTTTTTTTATCAATGTCAGTGTTAAAGAACTTGCTCAAGTTACCGTAAAACGCCGTATAAGGTACCCCCCTTGATTTGTACCGGGTATGTTTCAAGGTTATTTGTTGTGGTGTTTTGTAAGAGACCCGGGTATAAATCAAGGATCGATTTAATAATGAAAATCTTTTTTTACTAATGGGCTAATATATGTTTTTCACAAGATACCCCCCATATAATATACCCTCCTCCATACAAGGTACCCGGGGGGTACAAATCAAATTTTTATCATGTGAATTGTAAGATACCCGGGTACCTTATACGGCGTTTTACGGTAATATGTTAATAGAATTAAAAAAATTGCTCAAAGTGTAATTAATTTTGATTGGGTCAAACATGCTCGGATCGTCAATCAATATTCGAGTAAATAGACGTATTCGAGACCTAAGATATTAAATCAAGCAAAATAGTATAGCTTTCGGTATGACTTCGATTGGAACTGGTGTAAGTTCTTAATATAAATAAGCTTTATTAGCAAAATCTATTAATTCTACATCTACTCGTATATAGTATGATCTTTCTGTGTCCACTTACTCACCCGACGGTCGCGTTTTTCAAGTAGAATATGCTGCAAAAGCTGTGGACAATAGCGGGTACTTGTTATTTTTTTTTAAAAAAAACAATTTTATTAACTATTTCACCAAGTATTCATTTTTAAAGGCTCTATGTGTAATTTAGAACTGCGATTGGCTTACGGGTCAAAGACGGCGTTGTCTTGGCTGTTGAAAAACTTGTACAATCAAAATTGCTAGTTCCACGATCAAACCGTCGTATCCAAACTGTTGATACTCATATCGGCGTGGTAAACATTTTGTAATTTTCGTCTTTGATTTATTTCTGCTTGGATCAAGCAATTACACTTTGCACATAAACAGGCTACGGCTGGTTTGTTAGCAGATGGTCGCCATATTATCAATAGGGCGAGAGATGAAGCCGAGAACTATCGAAGTATATATAAAGATCAAATTTCCGGAAAGGCAATTATTAGCTTATCATTATTAAATATATATTCGATATGATTATTTAAACAAGTTTTTTCTAAATAGACAATCGCAGACAGGGTAGGTCACTATGCACAGGCCTACACGTTATATTCAAATGTACGACCATTTGGTAGCAGCGCTATTATCGGTACAGTTGATAAAGAAGGTCCACAGCTTTTTATGGTTGAACCATCTGGTGTATACTGGGTAAGATAATATCTTCAAGTTATTTCATAATTGGTACCTTTCGTTACTAATTTCATGTTTTATTAATCGTATTTGTTAGGGTTATCACGGGTGTGCGATTGGTAAGGGAAAACAGGTAGCAAAAACAGAAATTGAAAAGCTCAAACTTGCAGAGATGTCTGTTTTGGATGCTGTTAAAGAAACTGCACGGATGTAATTATTTGGTTCCCTGCAAATGCTATATCTTTTTACTAATTATCTTATTAATTATCTTTTACTAATTATCTTATTAATTATCTTTTACTAATTATTTCATGTCCTTTTCTATTGGTAGCATTTATACAGTTCACGATGAAGCCAAAGATAAAGAGTTTGAATTAGAATTGAGCTGGATAACTGAGGAAAATAGGCGACATCAATTTGTGCCTGATGATATTGCAGCAGAGGCGGAAAGATTGGCAAAGGTGCCACCTCTTTCAATCAAGCACAATAATTTTATTATCTTTTCATTTTTTTTAATATCTGTTCTTTTTTTTTTATAGGAATCACTCAATGAGGAAATGGAAGACGATTAATCGGGTTGCGACTAGAGTTTAGAACCGGGTCATCCAAAACGGTTGAATATATAACCTCTAAAAATCTATGATTGTTAATTATTAT